TATGTATGTATGTATGTATGTATGTATGTATATGTATGTATGTGTGTGTGTGTATATATATATATATACGTTTTATGCTTATACAGCTTATACTAATGTCATTTTATTTTGGTTATTCATATATATAGACAACGGCGTAGGAGAGTTAGATGGCACTTCTTGATTTGGATACCACTGAATTTTTTTATTTATAAGGACATGTAACTTTCCATTGGAAAGGAACCCCCCCCCCCACACACACACACACACACACACGTTTGAAGGTAAAACTACATAGCAAGTTTTATCATAAGGAACACATTTCTTATTTCTGGCCTGTGATGCCCTCTGCTGGAACCAGACTGTTTACGTTTTAGCGCATTAATTGCCTTTTGAAAACTTATTGCTATCATGTTATTTGAGCTCTCTGCCTAAATGTCACAGGTCAAATTGACTGATTTTTATATAATGAGCAACAGAACTCCTTTTTGGCAATCTCGCCGCTTTGGATGGAAACCTGATCTGTTGCAGAGCAAATACAGAATGTATAATATGTAAGAAATGTTCCTGTGGCCAAGAGCAACTTAATTTGAAAGGGACTCAATTATCAACTAACACATTCAGAATTCCTCTGGGACCAGGTAAAACGAATGTAATAATGAAAAGCAAATATTTTAAAAACTGTGTTTGTGGTATCTGAGAAGATGACAGTCACTCAACACTGTTTTTAAATACATTCATTCATGCATTTTTAAATTTAAATGTCATTAATAAATTTGGCCGGGCTGGATCTGAATTCTCATGTACTGTATTAGCTTTCCTATTAAATGTGGGCATGCGAATGTTATAGTGTTCCTAAGAAATAAACAAATGGAATAAATACACTGGATGTTATTAGAGCTGTTGGAAGATTCATGGATGGATTTATAAAACTTGGGATATGAACTCCATTAATTTATAAGATCATGATTGTTCAAACAGTAAAACGGAAGTTTCTGACAGAAGACCCTCTCCCAGTAGAAGTGTTTCATTTTGTTGGATTCAGTTTAATGTGTGTTTTTAAAAATGTTATAATTCGTTACTGATATTTCTTAAATTTACTTTGAAGGTTTTACCATGATGACATGTGCGGCCGCCAGCTCTGTTCAGTTCACACGCCACGCAAGTGATGTGCTGTTCAACTTGAACCGGCTGCGCAGTAGGGATATCTTGACAGATGTCACTATTCTTGTAAATCGACAGCAGTTTCGAGCTCACAAAACAGTTCTTATGGCTTGCAGGTAAGTAGGATTTTAATTAAGTAATCTGGATTGATACTCACATTGGCAACTGCTGTAAATACCAAAAATACTTAGTATGATTTTGTCCCCCCCATCTCCCCCCCAAAACCCCACCCCCCCAACCCAGTGGGCTTTTTTACACCATATTTACAGACTCCCTCAAATGCAACCTGAATTCCATTAGCCTAGACCCGAAAATGGATCCTGAAGGCTTTGGCATTCTGCTGGAATTCATGTACACTTCTCGACTGACTTTGAAGGAGAGTCTCATAATGGCCATCATGAATACAGCCATCTATCTGCAGATGGATCATGTTGTTGACACGTGTAACAGGTTCATCAAGTCCAGGTAAGTCAGGTTTAAAAACACAGAATTGCCATATAGCCATATTGCCATATCCTAAAAGTGTAGGTATCTTTAAAAACCTAACAGCTCCCCTCTTCCCTTCCCGCAGTGATTCTTCAGCCAAGCTCACCAGGGAAGAGTTTTTGGTTAGCCCTCTGCTATTAACTCAGGATACCCTAGCTTACAGGTTTCATGAAATGGAGAATTTACCGCCACGAGCAGCCTCTGTCAGGGATGGTAGGGCTTATAGTTCCGCCATGTTCAATGGTATTAATCCTCCCAATAACTCTTATATTTACGGTGAGTTCCCAGTCCAAGGATTTGCTTTTCCCCTTGGAAAGATTACTGATGCCAAAAACTCTTTAAGAGACTTTTCCGCTAAAGGAAGTGCCATCCACCAAAAGCTCTGTTTCATACCTGATGAGACTGTTCTGACAGAGCACACAAGGTCTAGCCCCAGGGCTTCCAACAACATTTGCTGTATGTCCCCCTTCCCTCTCAGAGAAATGGATGGAGAAGAGGAACTAGGGAAGGATAACTTAGGGGGTGTTCATCCATCTGTAGGACCAGGCTTCAGGAAATGTAACATGTTAAGCTTAGCCTCAGAGCAGCAGGAGCAGAGTAAACGACATACTCCTTTGGTGGTTGAAGACCTGCGCCACCAGCATTGTTCGCTGAGCATCTCCTCCAGTGGCTGCAAGGGGCTTCTGAGCAGCCCACAGAGTCCTCTCAAATCTGATTGCCAACCCAACTCTCCCACAGAGTCAAGCAGTAGCAAGAACGCTGCTCTGTCCCAGGCCACTTGCTCTCTGTCATCCCCAGGGACACAGGATCCCAAGGCCCGAAACTGGAAGAAGTACAAATTCATCGTGCTCAATTCTGCCAGCCAGACAACTAAAGAAAATGGAGGCTCTCATGACACTCGGTCCCTGGCGAGCATTGGCTGTTCCACATACCTCCAGTCCAATGAGTTGGAGCATCCAGATATGCAAACTGCCCCTAAACTTAGTGAATGTGGGGAGGATCTCCCGGTTTCCCAGGTTAGCCGTCTAAATACGATCATCAACAGGTAAGCTGAGGTACACAGAAGCTGGTTTTTTATGTATGCAGGCATGAACTGAATATTAATTGCTAGCCTTAAGTATTATATTAATGCTAATCTCTAGTCTTAGCTAAATTTCTTTATGCATGGAAATTTATTAATGATCAATGGATTTACTGCTTGTAGTGTTTTGAAATTAATCCACAGTGAAGAATGAATTCAGAGGTGGTGTATTAATTTGAGTAAAAGTAGAGTTCAGTGGTTTTATTTTTATCTCTGCAGTGCCCTGGAAGGATCATCAAGGAACAGTGGTGGTCATAACTCCTCATACATTAACAATATGAAGTGCTCCTCCTGTGGCACACACTCTCCACAGCACCCAGTTTGCTCCAATACTCCAAGTCCTCCCCTACATGTGAACATTTCAGAATTGCATGCAGAGTATTCAGACTCTAATTTTGGTAAGGAGAAATCATTTTACATGGGTAAAACTGCTAGAAATGTGTCATGATGATGTTGAGGATCACAGATTAGAACCCTAATTGCTAATAATGGTTATTCAGGGGGAAAAAAAACAATACCAAAAGGTCAACATGTGCTTCATGTGCCTATAGTTGTATTTATCCAGTCAAACTATAGGATTTTGTCAGGAAAGGTGCATAAGATCATCTCATTCTTTTTTGCTCTAATTAAGACTTGTGGAAGAAACATCAAGAAAAGTAAATACAATGACACCACGTTTATAGCAGAAAATGAAAACCTGAAGACATTTTATAACGAAGGTTAGGGTGAAAGGACTGGACTACTGATCAAAGAGAAGAATACAAAGGTGATGACGACAAGACAGGCAGCTAGTTTTAGTGCTGATGAAGACTGGTGGAAAAAGTTCTGTATAGATCTTTGGAACAATCAGCAACAACAAAGGATCCAGCAACTAGGAAATATGTTAGACGGGAACCTAGGGGGAAAGAAACTACTTATTTCTAAGATAATTATTTGGAATACAGTATTTTGCATGACCCTTTATTGCCATTTCAGGCATTTATTTTTTATTTTTTTTAAATCGATCAATATCGGGTACAGCAGCCCAATCAAAAGCCAGGTCTGTTTAATTCCCAGTGTATTTACGTCAGTTGTGCAGATAAGGTTCTGTCACACACTGTGTTAAGCCTGAGGCACATGGCTTAAGACTACAAACTATCAAGATGTTAGTTGTATGGTCATTTTTTAAATATGAAACTAAAAGTAGCCAGAAAGCTACCTGCAAAAATGCATTTTTTAAATATTAAGACATGGACTGAAGACAAAGTATTCTTCCATGACAGTCAGTATGGTTGACAGGAGTTAACATTCAGTTGATGGAGCCAAATAGTTTTTCAGATTCATTCTGTGATCATTGGGATATGCTAGGACACAGACATTTGTCATACTTTGTGCATACTATTTACAATGCATTTCTATATGCGCTATTCATTTTACAGCTTATGTTGGTTAAATCTTAAATGTCACTGAAAAAAGAACGTGCTTGTTTGCAGAAAACGGTACAGGCTGTAACAAATGTGACTCCAAGTCTGCTGAAGACGATTCTCTGAAACAGCACATGCTTCAAGTTGACGGCTACAAGCCATACAAGTGTGACCACTGCCAGGCGGCTTTCCGATACAAAGGGAACCTCGCCAGCCATAAAACGGTGCACACAGGCAAGCCCTGCTAACTGCCTGAATCAGATTTACCTCCTTGCATTGGTCATATGTTAATGCCGTCTCTTGTCTGACATCCCTTACTGTTTTTTTTTTTCTTTTTATCTTTTTTTTTTTTTTTTTCTTCCTTCAGGAGAGAAGCCCTATCGTTGTAATATTTGTGGTGCTCAATTCAACAGACCTGCCAACCTGAAGACTCACACACGCATTCACTCAGGAGAAAAGCCGTATAAGTGTGAGACATGTGGTGCTCGCTTTGTACAGGTGAGGAAACCCCTCATCCTCAATTTGGCTGTCTCCTACTGTTCCTGAGGTTCATGATTTCAGTGAAATAAAGAACTTTTGTGAACTTCGCAGTAAGTGCTAAAGTGTAACTGGCTTTCCAGGTGGCTCACCTTCGTGCCCATGTGCTCATCCATACGGGAGAAAAACCATACCCCTGTGAGATCTGTGGTACACGCTTTCGTCACTTACAGACCCTCAAGAGCCACTTGCGTATACACACTGGAGAAAAGCCCTATCATGTAAGTAATGCTGTTAATTTGGTACATATGAATCTCTAATCTGTTGCCACTCAGACTATGAAAAGGTGCCTGTTAGGCATGCCATATGTAACTTTAAAGTGCTTGCTAGTGGCTGAAGGAGAGTTTTAATCTTCAGCTGAAATATCGTTAAACAGAACATGCCATAAACACATGGTGTTAGAACATCTATAGCTGAACGAGTAGAGTTTTATGCTAACAATGCAAAAGTTGTGGGTTCAAATCCCAGGGAGAACTTATAAGAACTATACAAACGAGAGGAGGCCATTCGGCCCATCGAGCTCGCTTGGGGAGAACTTAACTAATAGCTCAGAGTTGTTAAAATCTTATCTAGCTCTGATTTAAAGGAACCCAAGGATTCAGCTTGCACTACGTTATCAGGAAGACTATTCCATACTCTGACTACACGCTGGGTAAAGAAGTGCTTCCTTAAATCCAGATTGAAATGTTCTCCCGCTAATTTCCACCTATGGCCACGAGTTCTTGTATTTGAACTAATGCTGAGGTAACTATTCGGTTCAACAGCATCCAAACCTGTTAGAATCTTATAGACCTGGATCATGTCCCCCCTCAGTCTCCTTTGCTTGAGGCTGAACAGATTTAGCTCAAATAACCTTTCCTCGTATGACATTCCTCTAAGACCAGGAATCATTCTTGTGGCCATACGCTGCACCTTTTCTAAGGCTGCAATGTCATTTTTAAGATAATGTGACCAAACCTGCACACAATATTCTAGGTGAGGTCTCACCAAGGAATTGTATAATCTTAGCATTACCTCCCTTGACTTAAACTCCACACACCTGGAGATATACCCCAACATCCCCAACTTTTTATTGCTTCCCCGCACTGGCGAGAATGAGACATGGAAGCATCAACATACACACCAAGGTCTTTCTCATAATCAGCTACCTTTATTTCAGTAGGTCCCATAAAATACCTGTACTTTATATTTCTGCTCCCTACATGGAGTACCTTACATTTGTCTATGTTAAATTTTATAAATTGTAACCTTGGACAGAAGTGTCATGTAATTGTCATGTAAAAAGTAGTTTAGGGTGACTGTAAACTGTTTATTGAACAGTATCTGAAGAGGAAATGTTTATTTGATTCTAGTGTGAGAAATGCAATTTGCACTTTCGCCACAAGAGTCAGTTGAGACTGCATCTCCGGCAGAAGCATGGAGCCATCACCAACACCAAGGTCCAGTACCGCATTTCCACTACAGAGCTGCCAACTGAGGTGACCAAGACTTGCTGAGCCAGTCCAGAACTGTAGTGCCACACTGACAGAAACCAGGGCAGTTGCCACCATCTGAAACGGGTTTACTTTACATGCGAATATAGAGCCACATATGGTCAATTAGTCACTTTATTACCTATATTGTGTTTTGAGTATGTATAAGCTTTGGAGTATGCAAAGCTTTATTTTACTGAGGAGAAAAGAAGGAATGTAAATTAAATTTTTGAGTGTTTTATATCAGAGAAAATACATTTCTGAATATTTATGCTTTGATCGAATGATTAATGGAGTGTTAATAAATAAATGGACAGATTTAAAAATATGAATTGAATCAGACTGAACTCTGCAGGCAGAGCCAATCTGAAATTGAAAATTAGCAGTTTTAAGGTACTGCTCTTGTATGACCAACCGAATATTTCAGTGTTTGTGATTTGTTTTTGGCAAATGGATATTTACGGTATTGTCCTTGTAACTGATCTGTTAGGCTGTACATTTTTTATATTTTGTTCATACGTGCACTGTGTTCCCAAGGTGCCTTTTCCCACTGTGGTGACCACTTCCCATTCAGCCCAGTTCTATCAAGGTGTAAATCCAGAACAGCATTTGTCCTGTTTGTGTCTGTTTTTGATTTCCCCCCACCACCATCACCAACATTAACTTTCATCATTGCTTGTGCTGTGACTTTTTTATTTTTTGGTAAATTACATTAAGACAATATAATGTAAAATAGTTGTGTGAATATAAAATAAATATGTATTTGTATGTACTTTGACTCATTTCATATTGAGAGTTTGTCTATGACATCTAAGGGGGAGGTGGACACAAAGATTGATACTTGAAAATGAAACGCTAGACCCAGCACAAATACGTAACGGCAAATTCTCCAAGTTAATTCTCTGGTTAAGTAAGAGGAAGTTTTATGCATGAGGTCCATAATATACGCTGATTGAGATATGTCTCAAAGCGGACATAGTGAGAAGTTAGCAGGACTTTCACTTAGTGTAACAGGTCTGGGAGAATATGGGCAGCTCTGCCAGCCGTATAATGTACACTTTCCATATCTAACTTGTAATACTGTATGTGTACAATAATGTACAGTATATGCAATGGATAGCTGCTATATCAAGATACGCCCAAACTGACTTGTGTAAGGGGGTCTCTGTCCCGAATGCAAATTGACAAGTATCCGTGTATATATATTTCAATCAGTTTCCCCCTGTTGTTAATGAAACTGTTTATTTAAAGAGGATTTCATTTTTTCTGAATTTGTCTTCAGCACATACTGCACAAAACCACAGCATATGATGGGGGAAAATTTTTCTGGGAATCAGGCTATCTTTGTGTAGGTCAGTTTTGTTGAGCTGAGGTGGTAGACAAGCATGCAGTTTTACTGCCAAAAGTGGTAGCAGTCAGTGCATGTGTACTATTACATAAAAACATTAAGATTTAAAATATATTCATTAAAAACAATTCCATAAGTATGTAATTTCAGGAATATGTTTTTGTTCCCCTGAGACGAGTTCAGTTGTGATAGTATAAAAATTCATTGGTGTAGGTACAAAACCCTGTTTGTAATTGTTACCTGTGTAAGTACAATTTTGTAATTTATACCTAAGGGCTTTTGGTCCAAGTCTACAGTACTTGGCTTGCTTTATCTAGAAAAAGACGTTCATTGAGTTTTTTTTTTCTTTTTTTCTTTAGATGTATTTTACAGGGACACGTGTAAATTCTGCCTTTGGTACTTCTTAAACTTTCAGTCCTTTAAATGCATTTAATTAATGTAACCTGATATGTTATTATCATTTTCTGGAGTGATTAACTGCCTCACAGATCATTTTTTTCAAATTGATTTTCATATTAATATTTAGTCACATCATTCATAAAATCTTCAATGTGAAGCACATTGTGTTTCCTAGTTCATAGCCTATTTACAAAAGTATTATTCATTATTACACTTTTCATTGGCCTAGTTTGGCTTACAAAATCTATTGAAATGAAGAATTAGGCCTGTATCATATTAGCCAGAATATACAAGTCTAGAATTTGTGATAACAGAGTTATACATGAGTTTAAAAAGTTTTAAAAAGTTTTTTTGAAGCCCTTCATTTCTGCCTTTGCTATAGGCTAATTAAGCATATAATTGCTTTTGTACATAACATCCATTTAAAAATGTCAAAGCCATCCTTGCCATTTTTCCTTTGTTGTGTTGTCAAGCATCTGTTTCATCAGATGAAATTTCTGATATTGTGCAGAATATCCAATGGATGTTTACATTTAAAACTCAGGATGTATCATCAACAGTTAATTGAAACATTACTGTGGCACATGAGGGTCACACCAGTTACTGAAAGCAATGATTCAAATAAATTTTCCCAACAAATACATTTTGGATCATTTTTCTCAATAAACAAAAAAGTTAATTTGTGTGTTATTTCTTCAGCTCTCTATTTCTAGTTTTTGGACTTACATGAAGGTCATATGGAGAAAAAGAGAACATTATAAGGGGTTTACAAACCTTCTATTAGATTATGCTAATGTTATTGACTGATACTTTTATTGATCCCCATGGGGAAATTGTCTTTTTTATGCCTCCCTCAACTTGCTCTTTGTAGAGTAAGCTGTCCACAAAGGGCAGCCACCTGTTGGGGCACCCAGGGGCTAAGGGCCTTGCCCATAGATGTGCCAAGGCTGGGTTTGAACTGGTGACCTTTTGATTACAGGCACACAGGCTTAGCCCACTTAACCACACGGTGGTGTCTTTCAATCTGTTATTTACTGTATGTAAACTTTGATTTAAAAAGCAGCTAGGAATCTGAATGAAGACATTTCAAAATGACTTGCATCTGTGTGAATGGTTTAAAGTGAGTTGATTATGCTTAACTAAGTACCATTAATTGTACAAAAAATGGAGGGATCATAGAACCTCATCTTATACTCTGAGTACCAAAACATTCATCCATCACAGTCAAAGCGAAATTGCAGTTAATATTTAGTCCAGTTTTTTGTAATTGTTCAAGCTCCCCAAGAACAAGAGCTTTGATCCCAATTTCATTAACTTTTTTTTCTTATGGATTTCAACAGAGTAGTGTAATAAAACAGTAATTAAACAGATCTGAATAGAAGTTGATCCCTTTTTATACAAAAGGCATAAAGTTCAAAACTGTCACTTGACTTTGTCGTAAAAAATGGTTCTATGCTCAATGTGATAAGTTTTACTGAAGATTTTATAATCCCATACAGCCGCATGTAATGAAAAACCCATTAGCCTAATAAATTTCCAGCAGATTGTTTTTTTTTTTTTAAATGAATTACTGTACCTTTTGCATAGAATATGAGCAACAACTTACAATATCATTTGCACAGATGAATAATATTAATTTGTATATACTGATTGACAAAATATAATTAATGTCAAATTACTGCATGACTGATATATTGTTTATTATACACCTATTACTGCAAAGCCTCATTTTCAGTAGACATGTCCTAATGGTAAACTCTCTTAGCCCATCCTTAATCAATCATGTTTATTAAATGATAATTGGTTATCAGAGAAACCTTTTAAGTTGTGTAAGCACAACTGAACCGTGTTGTTCTGTTCAATAAAGTATTTAAATTGTCTTTCCTTGGATTGCATTCCTAAAATGCAATTGGAAAATGGCCAAAACAAAACCACAATCTCAAGAAACATGTCAGTCTGTTGTTTTTCTGTGAAATGAAAGTTATTCCATCTGACTGCCATGAAAGTGAAGGTTTAATACTAACATGTCCAGTGCTGCCTGGAGAGAACAGGGCAAACTGGATCTAACCAGGATAGAGAAAAGAAGCAGAAGGCCCATATGCATGGCAGCACAAGAGGACATGTATGGCGGAGTTTGCAGCTTGAAACATGGACACCTTACAGGTCCTCAGTTGGCTACTTCCTTAACACTTGCACCGTGTGTCAGTCTCCCACCTTACCAGTAACAAAGCTGCCCCATACCATTATGCTTCCTCTGTCATACTTTACAGAAGGCATAATGCAGTCCTCCAGCATACTTTCATTGTTCTGTCTCATATATGTTCTCCATCTATATCCAAACACCTCAGACTTGGACTCCATTCATGCAAAATACTCTTTTCTTTGTCATCTACCCTCCAGTGTCTGGTTTCTTTTGCTCGTTTTAACATTTTCTTATTTGCCAGTTTCAGATCTGTCTTTTTCTTTGAAAATCTGTTTGTAAACCCAGCATCCCAGAGTAGACTTTTCACTGTTGCCGATGACACTGGTAGTTGGCATGCATTAGATTATGAACCAGAAAGGTTACTACTCTATTTTACAACTTTATGCCATTCCCTGTAGTCAGCACTTGATTGGTGCAAACATCATTATGCCACATGACAACGATCTGAAGCATAAGATACAAAAACAAGATGCCAGATGTCAACCCTATCAAGCTGTTATAAGAATAGCTTCATTGTAAGGTCAGAGAAAAAATCCCTACAAGCTGGTCATACCTCTCTGAAGAGCTACAAAAGGTATGAGCTTATATTTTCCCTGAATATCGTTAAAAACTGACAGCTAGGATTCCAAAGCTATAATTGCTGAAAATGGAGGACTGCTTGATGAATATAAACTGATGAATTGTAACTGACAGCAGGATAACTAAGAATTTTGCAGTGCTGACATGACTTCTACATATACCACTTTTAACCAGACACAGCTTGTTTAGTTGCACCTAGCTGAAATAACTTGTTATAACTAATGTAACAAATACATATATTAACAAAAAAAGTTAAGCACTCAGAAGTAATGCTCTGCTTTGGTTGTAATTTGGTACACGTGCAGACCAGACCAGGATCTGGCATGTCTAGTCACCAAACACAGAGGATGCCTCTTAGACACATTAGACAGCATTACCAGCACTTGAAGGAGTTTGATAAGGGTATCACAACTATTTCACAATAAAAGTCAACAGGTAAGCAGGTAAGCAATAAAGTGCACAAAAATTTCATCTACACACTAAAAAGCTAACAATCTACTGACAATATACTGACGATCTAAGACAATCTAAAAAAATTATAAATGCATATGGCAATTGAATGTTGGCTCAGTCATGCACAGAGGAGAAAATAGGCCAAGACCGACACACATGTGTGCTCTGGGAGACGACCATCCTGAATGGACTGCCACCCTTTGTAAGATTTTAGCCCTTTCCCTCCCATGTAAGGAAAACATTCTATCTGTTTTGTCTAGATTGGGATTCAGGTGCTTAGGAGGAAAATTAAACTTTACAGTAATATATACCATATACAGGTAACAATTACAAAGAGACTTTTGTAATCAGGGGCATAAAGCAGGGTAAGGCAGGCAAACACGTGCAGACATGGGAGAAGAGAGACACACACTCACACCAAGAGAGGGATCAGGACATACACTCACTGGGCTGGGGATCGGGGAGATCACTCACACAAAACCACACAAGAGGAGAATCAGGCACAGGGGGGCACCTGGAGATCAGTAAACAATTCCTCCCACTGAGGGAACCAGCTAGACCAGTTAAACAAGCTAGACAATTAGACAAAACCGAAAGCAGAATTAGGCATAGCTGACAGTATCCTGGTGAAAGAGACTGGGCGAGGAGCATGGCTACAGTGAGGGACCGCAGTCCAGCCTCATATGGGAATTTGAATATTGCTTGTGTACTCTGCGTGTGTAATTTGCATGTCCTCCTGTGTCATGTATATTTCCTCCAGCAGTTCAGACACATGCAATTTTGTTAACTG